GTGAAGCAAAGACCTTTGTGTAATTGCTGATTGGAATGAAGCTATTTAATGCATGTAGAACTTCTGCAACTATTCCTGCTTTACTTTCAACAAGGAAATGTATGGAAATACCTGTAGAACTTTATTATACCAACACTTATTGATCAAAGCACTATTTGTGTAACCTCCAGAAAGAGATTGAGTATGTAGATAAAGCCTTGAAGCAATGAAGAAGGAAATTAGTTAGTTCTCAAACAAAAAATAATATAATTGATGATCAAAGAAAAGCTTAATTTACTTGCAGTATTCATGTTGGCTTATGGGTCATTAAGCACTTGGGTCAAACGTTATCAATATGTTTGTGCTTGCCTTACTCTTTCCTCCACAACACTTCTCACTCTTCTGACTTTTTCAATGAAGCTGAAAGGAGGCAAAATATTCTCTCACTTCTACTTAGCACTAATATAGTAAATATGTTTAACATTTGAGTCTGAACCAGTGTTTGGTTCATTCAATGATTGCATAATTTGTATTTTGTAATATTCATGAGATTCAGGAATTGTGACAAAATACTGTTGGAAGTACGCAAGCATAAATTACCAAGCCCTATCTATATGCAGTGAACTTACGCACGTGCACATGAACTAATTCCGGTGAGTGTACTATTAATGATCTAACAATTAATATGCGCATTTGAGGGTTGTGAATTTTGTGTGGCTTTTGAACATGTAACTGCTTGGTTTACATTAGAGTATTAAAGGAAGTCTTTTTGATCTAAACTCATTGTTGTAGGTGCAGCTGCATATGTTTCAACAAAACAAGCACAGAGAAATACAAAAGAAGTTTGGACAGCAACAGGTTCATTTGTAGAAGGAATACACCACTTGCCTATCAGCAATTTATGTATTACAACCAATGGAATATGAAGGGGAAGGGGGTTGGGGAGAACGTCCTGGATAAAACAACAAGGAAGGACGATAGGGGAGGGACTGGAACTCCTCAGGGATATTAGACTTTTTCCTTCTATTTTATGTAACATTCCTATTTTGTTGCTTTGGTTTAATCCCTTCAAATTCCAAAATTGATCAACATGTAATTTCTCATAACATTGTCATTTAAAGCATCTTCTCGCAAAAAGGGGACAAGATTGATTCTATAGACAGGAAGGAACATTGAAACAATGTGGAAGTGAGACAGCACAATGGACGTTGAGAAACCCATCATTCAATATGGGTACATTCCATAATTTGATATTTCTCTCCTTTCTCCAAAGAAAAAAGTCTAAACACTTCTTTAAAGAGTAAAACAATTGATGGGAATAAACAAACAAAGTCTGTTCAAGGTGAGTAAACTTTACGACAAATGTCGTTTAATTATAACTGTCAATAAACTCTAATACAAAGTATAAGGCTGGTCGGTGAATACTGTAAATTAGTAATTCAGATGTCATAGAACATGATTGATCTATCAACATTTTCTAAAATGCCAAGGCTATGAAGAGTTCTTTTCTGTAGCATAGCTTTGATATCCCGTCTGTAACACTTTGAGACCTCCGTTATCACATCACCACTTGGCCGCGAATCGACTTCCGGTTTGACGATTCGTCAACTGCCTTTGACTATTCGCAGCGGTTTGGGTGTATTGGACAACCCTCTATTTTTTACTTAAGACGTTTTAAAGTTAATATGATTTTGTATATTTTTGACAAGTAAATGGGTTATTTTTTTTACCATATAACATTTTTTTAATTATAGAACATATAAGTGTAATATAACAGCCGTGTAGTTTTAGGCGAAAGTTGGAAATATGGACGTAAATTGCATTTCGTTGAACAAGTGTACGTCTCAGCTGATAATGCCTTCTGATAACATTTGTACCAAGCTAAAATTGAGGTTAGAATATTTTGTAAGGTTTGAAAATACGAAGTATGAATTAAAAGAATTAGGCAGTGTATTTTGCATAGCGGATTTATTTTTGAAGTACTATTTTATATAAAAATACATAGCCTTTACTTTTAACGCGATGTTCGGAATATCTCATTTTTGGAGGACAACTGTTTATAAAATACATGAGGAAATTTCTGCATTTTGATTGGTTGCAATACAGTTTTCAGGCAACTCCAATGCAGAAGAGAGCTAATACAATGCAGAACTTTGTTATTTCAGTGAAAAGGCGGTAACGAACTTTTTAATAGCTTAAAAAAGAAAGGCATGTCGAAGATTTTGTCTTTTGACTTAACACTTTGATTTGACCGAACGCACAATAATGTTTGCAGGGTTTTGATGATTCATGTTTGTACGTGTTTCACCTTTTCTTTGTTTCTGCATTATCAGATGAAGCTATCTCGAAAATTTGATCATTTATAAACGAAATAGAAGTGACATGATTGTTCTTATACAATTTGGAATGAGTAAGCATTCGTAATTTTTGAAAAGACTACAAATTGCACGAGCCCTACGGGCTCGTGCAATTATCTTGGTTTTGAAAAAACAAAAAAAGGATTGAAGAGCTGCGTTCAAGAAGGGTACAGTTGTCAACCCTTCCCAGTCCTCTCCCCATGTTGACAATAAGTGAGCCCTTGACGACTGTGTTGACTTCAGTTTTTGCATAATTTAGCAAACCGCTGAAGTATACAAGATAGTTATTGTGTTTGTACATTAGTTTAAAAATACTTTAACTTGCATATCTAGCTAGGCTACTCAAAAACAAAGTTATCTAGTATTATCAACTGAGTTGATAACATAAATTGGCCACCGTAAAGAGTTTAACAGCTGATGTCTCGAGCGTTAGAGCGATTTTCGAAGGGCTAACGCTCGAAACGTCAGCTTTTAAACTCTTTACGGTGGCCAATTTACGTGATAAACTCAGTTGATAATACTAAATTACCCTGTTATACTCTCCCACCGACGCAGCACCACAATCTCTTTAGAAACTTTCCCCCTTTACTCAAACACTATTCAGGCAAAGGAATGCAAATAACTTGCAAAAACGCTAAGTTCATTTTTTGTTTCAAAATTAGCGCTGGTAATTTAGAAAAAATTACTGACGGCTTGCTTCCTTAGATGTAGCGCTTACACTTATAAAGTAGTATCATTATAATCAAATTTTGTAGATGCAAGCAGTGTACTTTTTACAATGTTGCATTGTCAAGTACAAATAATTTCACGAGAGAAATCTTTCTCCTGTTTCTCTTCCTATTACCTTTGGTTGAAGCTCGATGCCATCATCAGTTGTATTAGCAGAGGTGGGAGAAGGGAATAATCTTGGGGTTAAAAATTTATCTTTTTTCAAGTTTTAGGAGTCCAGTTATAAGAGATGATGGGAACTTATGAAATACAATCTTCTTAATTCCATCATCAGGTTCCCTTAAAATAAATTTCCCGCTCGGTAAGGAAAAGAAAAAGTGATGATAGACTAAAGAACACATTGGCACAGAATAATAATAGTTTAATACAGCTTTACATGTGAAATAACGTTCTACTTGCAATAATCAAGTTTTCCGGTCGATCCGCAAATCTCATAAGAGAGACTTGGAGTCTCTCTGGCCATGACTTAATGTGTCGACGCGTATGACACGAGGGGATCACGCTCTTGGTGCACAGACAACAAGGGCATAAAAAGCATCGCACGAATTGCTCGAACAAGAAGAGTATTTCTTGTTCAAAAAAGTACCGCACGAAGTGCACGACACACCATCAGGCCACCAGACAAAACCCAAGTATCTCTAATAAAGTTAATGGATGGACAACACGACCCGAGAATTAGATCGTACGAAACGACAAAATCCGCCATCGCCTCTCAAGCGATGGAGTCCCTTTAATAAAATTCATGGATCGACACTACGACCTTACAACTCGTGAATACAGTAGACGACTCGCGCGTTAGGAGTGAATACATTACAGACCGTTACATGATCCGTACGGATCATACGGAGCGACAAGTCACTCGTTACGATCCGTGGTATTGGACAATCCTCGCCAAACTTGTGAGTAAAAACAAAACAAAAATAAAAGAGTGGAAATTATGAGGGTCTAAAGATAAGTTGTGCTCTTTCCCTCCCAAATTGCTTTACTCATACTTGCGTCCTAAAAACAAATTCTTGCCCCTGTTGGGAATTTCTCGGTTTCTGCTCGCTAACACAATCTAATTAGTTGCAAACTTCCCGTTCGCTGAATGCAAACAAACCACACTTGAAGGTTCACGTTTTCTTGAGAATACATTCCCCTCACTGGTTTCACAGTTTCAACAGTCGTTTCCAGTCGCTGATTAGTAATCAAATAATCAAGTCAAACATGAACAACGAGAAAAGTTAAATGCCAATATATCAACACCTCTTATTGAAAGAGGCTCTAAATGAAGATGATGTGAGAAGTTACATGTAAATCAAATTTGAGTTTTAAAGGGATTAAGGCAAAGCACCAGAGTATAGATGTTGCAAAAAATTAAAGTAAAAAAGTGTAAGAGCGCCGATTGGTCCCAGTCTCTCCCCTTCAGTTATTCTCCGTTCTTTGAACCACCCTGGAGAGAGTTGGTATCAGGAAAAAAATATGTGCTGATTTTGGCTCCAAGTTTGTGAGAAAGATATGGTAGAAGAAAGAAATGGAAAGCAAAACTAAGCTTCCATTTGTGTTCGGAAACTTACACCAAATGCAACAGATTTCTACGTTTTCATACATCATGATCTCCGAACTCTGAAGGGCTGTCAGTGACTTTGAAGAAGAGAAACCCCGCCGTGGTGCAAGAGAAAAAAACCTTTGACCTTGTTTATATTTCTCAGCTGAGCTGGGACATGAAAGAAGTTGATGCTCTCCTTGTTATCGGGTAAATCATGGTTTCTGTTCAGGTGGAAAGCCCCTTGTGCGGACGGGATATGGAAATTCTTCTGTTGATTTGAATCCTTTTTAGGGCCTAAAAAAGTTCATGGTTACCTTGGAATCAATAGCTGAGATATGCGTATTTGCATTTAAACGCTCACTCTCTAATGGGGAGTTCGGGAGCAAACCTTTTCCTTTTCAACTTACTTTTGGAGCTCGAAGCCACCGCAGGCAGAGGAACAACTTCGGGTCACAGGTTTTTTCCTTTCGAGATTAAAAAAACTATCCATAACATTACAGTAAGATGCCGAGAAAAACGCCATGTTCGGTACTTTTCCTGCCTAACACAATTTTATAAAATTCCTGCCAAACACGAGAGTAAAAACTGCAGTACAGAGGAAATATATAAAATAATCAAAATGCATAGACAATTAATGACAGTGAAAGTGAGTTTCATACTTAGACTATAGTAACATCATACTATGAAAACATTGATGTATGTGACTAAATAAAACTGACACTATTGCAATGTTGACGTAAGATATTCCTAATGACAAACGTCCAAGTCTCGAAGAATCATAGCACTAACTACAACTAAGGAAAAAGAATAGTTTTTTAGACAATTGCATTGAGAGACGAATTCAAAATGCATCAAGCTGATATGCTGTATGCTCTATAATTACAAAAAGTTTTCCTCTTAATCTGTTCAAACGCTAGTGATAGCAGATACAGTGGAGCTTTTCCACTAAGGCCTTAGGGCAGAGGAAAATGCGGGATTTTGAGGAGAGCTAGCCGTCAAAGGGAAATGAGAAATTATTTCAGCAAGGAATGCATTAGATTGTCATATTCAACGAGAGCCGAGATAGTGGAGGTTCGAATGTATGACTAAACAAGGTGATAAAATGTCTTTGCTTGCATACTTTTATTTCTATGAGGTCTAAAGCAATGGAGTGTGTACCAAAGACGTCACAGGAAATCGATATAATATTATAAACTAAGAAATAAGAACTAAAGCTCTTTTTTCCCTTCGAGATTAGAAAACTATCCATAAAATTACAGTAAGATGCCGAGAAAAACGCCATGTTCGGGACTTTTCCTGCCTAACACAATTTAATAAAATTCTGGCTGACACGAGAGTAAAAACTGCACTAAAGAGGTATAGGAGCAAGCAAACTGAAGTCAAACAAGTATTAGGCCACATAAGCCTCTAGGAGCGAATTTTACCTCTAGTTAACACTAGCATAATATAATTATCTGTCCTTAATATAAAACAGGAGCATTTTTGACGAGCGAACGCTTGGTACTCTTACATAAACTTTTAGACCATCACCATTAAAACTAAGGCAAGAAGGCGAGGATTAATTTTTTTTAGTGAGCCTGCTCGAAAGGTAAGAGCAAGGAGGGAGAAGTGGGGAAGCAGACCAACATTGATTCAAAGCTATGGAGACTCGATGTTTTAACGTACAGAGGCACTTTGGATTTCGTATAGGGGATGTTTCTCCTCGCTTAGTCCATTTCCATTTGGGGTGCTATTTTCGTTTCCACCTTGCGCGGCTTTAGGTTTTGAATTTTCAGTCTTGGCTGCAGCCAAAGCAACAGCCATAGCTTCAGCCGCCGCCGTAGCTGCACCAGCTGCAGAGGATGTAGCTATAGCTGCTGCCACAATTGCAGAATGAACCTCAGTCCCATCACGCTGAGGTACAGATTTTTTTACGGCCAGAGCCCTCGCTGCAGCTGCTACTTCCTTACCAGCCTCCACACACTGTGAAGTATCAAAGGAAACTTTGCGGGATTTGAAGTACAGCCATGACACAGCACCGATAACAGACAATAACGCTGCTTTTAGAATATCATCTGCAGTTTCGCGACCATAAAATGACTGTCCAACTAATACTGGAGGGACTACAACAAAGCAGAGACCAAGAAACCAAGTATATATGCGAAAAGGGTAGAAAGGCGGTAGTCATTTGCGTGGGTTGTTTCATTGATTAAAAAAATAAGGTAATGCAAATAAAGGAAAGTATCAGCAAAATAGAAACGCCCCAAGCTGGATTAACCATGATACCCACTACAACCCAGCTTAAATGGTAACTAACCAAGCTCGTGCACATAATAAGCAGTAATCTGCTCAAAAATGAAGTAATATCCAAATCTTCACAAAAAAGGCAGTTACAATAGCATATCACTACCCATTCTGGTATAAGTGCAAGGAGCACAATTAAGTCTCGCAACATATTTCCTCTTTTTGAAATTTCGGTGGATGTCCACACTCTTGCTAAAACAAACATGACCTCTTTCAGCAACAGGAAACAACAAAATAAAGTTACTGAACGTATCAGTGGTTCTTCGTTTCTACGACAAACATAATCTACCCTACCACGATTTTCATCGTTACCCACTGAGAGCGATGTACATTGAGTGTCATCTTTTAAGTATTGTGAGACCCAAATATATAAAAATGGAAAAAACACGGGACACAGGAAAGAAAACCACAAAACTACCCTGAAGTAAGAACGACCAGTAGTCTTCATATCTTGGATGCGCCCTTTTATGACAGATTCTGCAAAATTCAAGCGTGGATCTCGCAAGCCAGAAGTTACAGCAAGGTCTTGAAGCTAAAAAAAAAACTATACATCAGACGTGACTATAAGAGTGGAGCGTGTAAGAGTGAAAAACCGTTTTGGTGATAGCAGAAGTATTTTATTCAACCAGTTCTGGAGATAGTGATCACTGACAGCGATTTCGACAACTTGAATGGAAGTCATCATTTTCGATTTAAAAGGCATTTAGCTGTCAGTAAATAAAACTTTGTAAACCGCTCACTGATTTTTCGATAGCAGAAATCTTACATATGGGTTCAAATCCTGTACGGGCCTGAATTTTTTCAGATCTCGCTTCAACTACTATTTCAGCTGCGAGGATCGCTTATATCTCATTTCTTCACCGCAGTGCACATATATGATTTTCATATATTTCCAGTCATCTTATATATGTGTTATGATATATATATATATATATATATATATATATATATATATATATATATATATATATGTATGTATGTATATATATAGATTACAGTCTATCCTTGCGGTGTTGTGCTCGATGCGTTCGCAGAGCGTGGTAAATCTGAAGGTTGGACAAATCAATAAGAGATAACTTTTCTGTGACTCTGAATTTCACGCTTATGTGTTTCACGAGGGCTTCGAGAAAATTAAATTTTAAATTGTCTAATTTAACATTGAGACCAATAATAAAAAAACTGAACAAGATAAAGAGGTTTCAACTCGGTGGCCTCGCGGCACCATTCGAGGATGCCGCCACAGCGCATGCATGAAAAACTTAGATGTCCCGTATGGGAACCCAAGCGACGGCTGGGCGTCGACCAGCCGCAACAGCGTATTGATACACAAACCACTCAAAATCTATCAGTGAGTAAGATTCCGAAATATTATTGTACAAAAGAAAAATGTGAACGTGACGGCTTAGGTAAAGTGAGATTTAAATTTAGTAGAATGAGTGCCTTTTGTATTACGGACATTTTACATTATTTCTACCATGGAAAATTGTCAAATACTTTGAAAAAATACTTCGTGGCTAATAACATCCTGCGTTTCGTCTAGGCTAGAAGACTCATCAGAAACCTTTCGGAATTTCTAAGCATACTCGTTGAGTATTGCGCTAACATCTTGAATTCGTGAATGGGACTTTGTGTGCTAATATAAATAGCTAATTGAAATACTTACGGCAGCCAGTACAGTTTTAATCATTCTTTTCCTGTCTTTTACAGAAACATTGCAGCAAAAGAATGGAATTGTGATGTTTAGTTCTTGCGTGCGTGGAGTCCGCAGTATCGAGAAGAGGGATGAGATCTCCAGGAAAACAGCGGAAAAAGCAGCATAAAGGCTTCTCAAACTCCATATGTATTTCATTACAGCAGGCATGGAATCGTTGCCTGTTTTATCTGGTCCGTTCTGACCATATATATTGACGAAGATTAGAACTGAGGAAGGCTCATTTGCCGGATATAAGGCGGATTTGATGTTAAAACTGTTCACATCTGATGCTAAGGATTTGTAGATGTCAGCATAGGTTCCAATACAACTAGTGGCGTTGGCGCACTCACTTATTACGTCTGCTCTAGTGCAAATAAAAAGACTGCTGATCAAATGAAACACAACGTAGACAATTATGGATGTCATTTGTGTCACATACGCCATTTTCTCTTTTATCGTCGATTGGAGGGTTTTCCTGTACCAAGAGTTAAAATGAAATAAGGTTAAACCCTTTTCGGAAAGTTATAGAAGCAGATAAATAATGAAAAGCATTATTGCTGATGAGAGATTATATACTGTACAGCCTAAGAGGGGGAACATGTAAACTTAATCGTGACCCAGCCAAAACCCTCGACCACTCCCCCCTCAGGCGACCGGTCCATAACATTTCCCCCTCCCCCCTCAAGCGACCAAGTTCAAGAAAGCAAATGATCATAAATAAACAAAAACACGTTTTACCTGATTTCTCTTCATAAAGTGTAAATTTTAATCAAAATAGGCGGAAGTTGAGTCATTATTAAAAGAAAAAAAGACGTTGTGGGCCAAGTTAGCAGCAAGGTTATATGAAAATGTAATGCATCGTAATGAAATAACCCTAACGCAGTTTGTTTATTCCATTGTCGTTAACTCACATAGAGTCATGCTTTTGCGGGCTTGCCGTAACTTGCGAAACGGAAATATGCTAATGTTTGCAAAATAGAAATCTGTAATTTGCGAAATGGAAATATGCTAATGATTCTGTAACTTGCGAAATGGAAATCTGTGATTTGCGAAACGAGAATGTCTACGGTAACCTCCACAAGCTAGAAGAATGAATCGGTCAGCTCACCATAAGTATGGATTGCAGCCTGCCAAATAATAGTAAAAGCAACTGGCGAAGGGAGAAATAAAAACTCTGCGTGGTGAACTTTGCGAAATCGCCATTACATTCGTGAATAACTCAATGCGTCGTTTAGGTCATAGAGCGCAAAAGTAATTTGGAATGGTAGTTGACGCTGTAGCTTTACTGTGTATAAGGTGTAATCAATGTACGTTGTCGATGAATAATTCGGATGCGTGATTCGATATTTACTTGAACGGAAATGCTCATGGAAAGTGTCGCAGCATGTTTCTAAATAAAATATAAAGTTTGCTGGAAAAATGTAACTGACCCAAGCTCTTTTATTTTTTTGAGTCTCAGTCATGTTACAGTAAGCCCTTTTCCACCCATGGCTTCGTTAATTACTGTTTATTGAATAGCTGAAATTTCCAAGTTTTTTTCCCCATCA